AGCATCCAAATTCTTGAGCAGGAAGATGACATGGTGAAAATAGTATTTTAAGAGAATTAGTCTAGCAGTTAATGTGCAGGAAAAACTAGAGTTTAGAGATAGAATGTTAGAATATTGGGGCAGTTTGAGCCAGGTTTTGTAATGCCTTTTATGACAAAATTCATATCTAATTTTTCTCAGCCTATGCTAGTGGGAGATTCTGTAAAATATAAATTAATTCATATATTAAATACCACCCCTCCCAACCCCAAAATCAGTTACAAAATTATTATCTTCTATACTTTTGAAGAAGTCTTTTTTACCTGGATTCTGAGAGACCATATAAGAAACATCAGCCACAGCTTTAAGGAAATTTGAAAAATCCAGCATTCCATTAACTATAAAAATGATTCCAAAACAGAAGGGAAAAAAAACTCCATCAGCAAACATTATTAGCAAACTCCCTAAGAACATAAGATAAAAATGGCAACTAAAAATGTAAATAGAATTAACTAATGACATTAGAATACTATTATCTATACACAGAGCAGTAGACATATATAGAATGTAAAAAGAATATTTACCAGAAAAAAATTTACATATTATAATTAGGTAGTAAACAGTGTTCCAGCAGTAATAAGAATGCTATGGGACTAGTACTGTAGATACAGCAGTGCTCTTTGCTCGACTAATTTTTATATTTGTAGTTCTTCAAGATTCTTCAAGTTAAATAACTATGAATTCATTTTCTCCTGTCATGAAGCAAATGAGCCCAACTTTGACAGGGTTTATTTACATCAGTGATGTTATCTATGTTACGAAGAAAACAAGTATAAATCTATATTTCAATTTAATGTCATCTGAGCAGAAATAGCCTACAGAGGAATACTTAAGGGCTTCCAATCGTCTGCAGAGGAAATGACAAGGCTTGGTTGTTCTCACTTCCATACCACAGAAGCACTTTCTCCAGCACTGAAAAGTCTGTCAAGTTGTCTATCTCCACTTCTTCAGTGTAACAACTTGAGAGTGGGTTCTCCTTTCTTTCAAAAACAGTGAAACATCTGTCCAAATTTTAATGAACTACTTTGACTTGTTTTCTGATATTGTTGTGACTTTGGGTTGGCAAAGATCTTTCAGATAAGATATCAAAAGCAACTCATAAAAGAAAAATTGTAGACTGGACTTCATCAAAAGTATGAACTTTTCCTTTTCTAAAAACATTCTTAAGAGAATAAAAAGTCAAGCCACAGAATGGAATAAAATATCTACGAATCACATATCCAGTAAAAGACTTATATTCAGAATATATAAATAATCTCAAAATACAATAATAAGAACACAATTTTTCAATGGGCAAAAAATATACAAATGGCAAACGAGCACATGAAAAGATATTCAACATTATTTAATCATTCAGGAAATGCAAATTAAAACCACAATCAGATAATAACCGTATATCTATTAGAACAACCATAATTTTTAAAGGCTGATCAATTCAAGGATGGCAGGAGCATTAAAAAAAAGCAGTATACAACAATATGAATAAATCTTAGTCACATTTACAACAATATGAATAAATCTTAGTCATATAATATTAAGTGAAGAAAACAAAAGATTATATACAGCATGAAAAACTTTTTACTAAAGTTTTTTAAACAACTAAAATTTTTGAACTATTTTACAAAAATACCTATCCATAACAATAATACTATTTGAACAGAAAAATAAGAGAATAATGAATATAGAATTCAAGATAATTCTTACCTCAGGTTGGGGAAAACAGAATAATAGGTTGCTTAGTAAAGTTTACGGTTAGATGTAAATTATTGACAAGGTCCTACTTTTTATTTTGGGTGGTTGGGTCAAGTACTTATTATATTATTTAAATTACATAACTAAATAAGATTAGACCATGCGTGGAACAATAATGAGAATATGTCGTAATCCAATCTAGTAATTAATCAATCCAATTACATAAACCTGAGGCCAATTTTCAATATCATTATTGTAAGCAATGTTCTTGTAACATATAAAAATGTTTCATAATATATAATATGACCAAAAATGATGTTTTTATAATATATTTCAAGGTTTAGCTTTCCTATCATTTGTAATTAATCTGACAAACATATTTATGATTGCAGACCCTTAAACTAATACTGAAAAGATAAAACTTACCATCAATATCAATAGTCTTTAGTGCCTGTCGCATTTCTAAATCACTTATAGAAATTCCCAAGATGCCGAGGATCACTGGAAGATCATTCACATAAATCTTACCACTTCGAATTTTACTAAAAATTTTACAGGCTTTATGAAGTGCTGCACAGACACAACAAAACAGTTAGTTAATTAATCAAAAAGAATAATTATCCTTATTCCCCCAACTATCTTTCAAAAAAATAACAATCACTAAAAGAAAGGGGAGCAAATCTGTATTTTCAGCCTTTCAAACTTCTTTCTTTTTTACCCCACCCTCTTCAATCTTTAAATATTCAAATCTTTCAATCTGTTTCCTAAAGAACTTTCAGAAACTGTCAGAAAAGTCGCACAAGGGCACACAGGCAAAGGCTTCCACAACTTGCCCTGGGAATAGTAAATTTTTCCTCTGTGTTCCCATAGCACTTACTATGTATCTCAGTCAAAGCCCTTGGTATTATGATTGCTTGCATGTCAATATCCCTCACTAAACTGTCAGCTTCTACGAAGCAAGATTTTTCATTCTTCTGTTTCCAGTGCCTAATTAAGAAGAAATTCTCAAAAAAAGTCTATTGAACTGAATTTTTTGGTTCAGTGGATACTATACTTTATTTTCAGAAAAGAGGCAATCGATGATAGTGCTGTTTTTGTTTGTCTTTTTAGAGCCAGAGTTTCTCTGCTGCCCAGGCTGGAATGCAGTAGTGCAATCATGGCTCACTGCAGTCTCAAACTCCTGTCTCGAAATCCTGGGCTTAAACAATCCTCCCACCTCAGCCTCTCCAGTAGCTAGGACTACAGCTGTGTGCCAACATGCCCAACTAATTTTTTGTTTTTATGATTTTTTGTAGAGATGGAATCTCACTATATTGCTCAGGCTGGTCTTGAACTCCTGGTCTCAAATGATCCTCCCACATTGGCCTTCCGAAGTGCGGGGAATACAGGCATGAGCCACCTCACCCAGCCCTGACAGTGATAAATACAAAATAATGACTAAAGAGTTGATAATAATGACTTTAATAAGTTTTAGTAGAATTTTGGAGGTGGAAGCCAGATTTCCATGAAATGGGAAGTGAGAAAATTCAGCAACTAATGAAAACAACTCCTTCAAAAAGCTTTTCTGAAAAACACTGAGTATAAAATTAGCAAAGCATAAACCTTGAGAAAGCAGAAGAAAATCAAGAAACAAAAGGATTAGTCTGGTGAAAGGGCACCTTTTCCAATGAGACAAGATGAAAGGACATGAATGTTGTTTGTAGGTAGGAATATCAAGGAGTTTAGGAAGCTTCCCAATAGCCTTTACTAACTCTCTACGAAAAAGCAAAGCCACATGATCCAATAATCCCACTTCTGGATATTTAGCCAAAAGAATTAAAATCAGGATTTTGAAGAGACAGTAGTACTCCCCTGTTCACTGCAGTACTATTCACAATAGCCAGCCTATGGAAAACAATCTAAATATCTGTGGAAACAACCTAAATGTCAGATAAATAAGGGGGGAAAAAGTATGTTATATACATATAATAGAATATCATTCAGCCTTTAAAAAGAAGAAAATCCTGTCATATGTAATAACATGAATGAATCTGAAGGACATTATGCTAAGTGAAATAAGCCAGTTAAAGAAGGACAAATACTACAGAATTCCAATTATATAAAGCATCGAAAATAGTCAAACTTATGGAACAAAGAATAGAATTGCAGTTGCCAGGAACAGGGGGTATGAGGAAATAGTGAGTTGCTAATCGGTGAGTACAAAATTTCAGTTACATAAGATGAATAAGTTCTGTAGAAATACTGTACAATATTATGCCTATAGATAAGAATAACCTACATTTTTACAATCTGTTAAGAGGGTAGATCTCATGTTAAATATTCTTACCAAAATAAAATTTTTTTCAAAAGAAACAGGGCAGAAAAGATTAAGTTTCATAGATTTCAGACTAGCAAGTTTTAATTTTAATTAAGTAAAACATTTTTAAATGTTTAAAGTTGGATAGGTGACATAATTGAGTATTTGAGGAGAGTAGTGAAGGTTTGGAATAGGTACCAAAGGAAACAGGAGAGATCACACCAAAACTTAAAGTGAATACCAACTGGTGCTAAAGGCAGCTGAGGTTGGAAATCGTACAATCATAATGGCACCAAATGGAGAGGTCAAGGAAATAAAATTCTAAATAAAAAGAGCTGGAAGCATAAGAGATTGTGAGTGAAGAATAAGACATTAAAGTCTGAGATTTTCACATAATGACAATGTGCAATTTGTGGCCATCAGTGTTGGTCAGGGGAATCAAGGTAAAATAATTGGTTTTGAAAGTGTGAAGCTACAGCAGTATGAGTCACCCATTTGGACACTAAGATACACTATATGACAACCAGAGTTAAGGTAAAAGGAAAACTATGAGAAATTATTCCACAGGTATAAAGGAGAAGCCCAAGATATGGGAGAGGTCAGTGTCATGAAAGCGTGAAGGGTAGTATAAGCCTTAAGATACCAAAGAATAAATTCCAGTGATACCAGTGACTCCAGCACTTACTAATTTATCCATGGGATGTAATATGCAGACATTTTTCCAAAAAATACACTTGAACTAGTATAAGCTATATATTATATTTTACCTATCTTAACCAATACAACCAAAGATATTTACGGATTAAACTGTCCACTTTTGCTTCCTCACAGCCCACAGCATTTGCATATCATGTATTATTAGTTGATACCATAAGCCATTAGAATTAGATGAAGAGGCACTAACTGCTGAAACAATTCCTAAAAAGCACATAATAAGGAAATGTATTCAAGAAATTTTAGAACCTCTTATTACCACTTAATTCTTGTGAGTATAAATATCCATGGGTTACTTCATCATATAATGTCATGTAGAGGTTAGATAGCATTTCCTTTTCCCTGTCAAAGAAACAGTCATATTAGAAAGTGGCAATGAAAATATGCAAATTCCATTTTAAAATATTAGCAAACCTACCAACAGTCTGAGATTCATAAGCACCTTTCTTGAAGAACTGTCCAAGTTAAGGAAAATTCCGTATTCTTCACGTCAGAAGTCCCACCTTATTTCTTTTTGAGATATTTTTCTATAAAGCAGAATTTACCCTAGTCTGTAAATAGTGCCCATGACCCACTATCCTTTGACTGTGGTCCAATTTTTCCTATTCTCAATACGAGTCACAGCAAATTTTTAAGGAAGTTATTATAATAAAGCAAACAAGAACATCTTTAAACAGCCAAGGAATCTCAGATTCCATCACTTATCAGTAAAATGTCTGGAAAAGATGATTTATCTAATACTGTAACATGTAAATAACTGAAATCATATAATGTTAGTGTTGGAAGACATCTTAAGAGTCCATTTAGTACAAGATCCTTATACAGATGTGGAAAGTGATGCCCAGAGATGTAAATTTTACAAAAGTCTAAGCATGTGAGGTCAATCAGGACTCAAATCTAAGTCTTCCAATTCCATATACAGTGCTCTTATCTCTACACAATCCTAAGAGCATAGTTAGCATAAACTACTTGATATTCTTTATGTGGAAGGGATAAATGATTCTGGAAAGAAACACTCAAGTCTGAACCCAATCTTCAAGAAACAGAGCACAAGGATTTAAATACCGAGTAATTGCGGAAGATGTACAAAGAGGTGATGAAGTCTTGTGAAGGCTGTACTGATTCGGCAACTTGCATAAAGAGTTTTCTTTCCTAGTTACCTTCTCCTTTGACAGCTTCAGAAAAGGAGGGATAATCTAGAGCCAAATGCAAGTATGTTAGTGCCTGAGGTCACACTGGTAATTCAGCATTCTTGGATGATAAAACTCTTAAAAGATAATTAATCATACCTTGGCTCCTCATTAATTATGCTTCTGGTGTAAAATTGCCTTTTGTAATTAAATTACATTTAATATAAAGTAAAATTTAAATAAACTATACAATGTTCTTTTGCAAAGCCATGGTTTTCTTAAGCATGCACTTAATCATGTCATTAATAGTTGGTCAATATATAGTAATGGATTTTACAAAGCAGGGAAAACCTATGGTATAGAGAGAACAAGAAGACTCAGTCATCAGACTCTAGGCTATATATAAAGGCTTTGACTTAAGTGCAACGTGGAGAATCAACACAGTTATTCAAATGATACAGGTAATTTTGTTTTTGATTATCTCTATCATTGAGCAAATTATCCACTTAACATTGCATGTATAAACACGATTCCAAAAAGGCAAGCAGCTAGGTGGAGAGGAAAGTAGCACTTTAGAAAAATGAGAATTCTAATTATAGGTGTCTTCAATTTTACATGGAACCCTGAGCACTGAGTTTTAATGACCATGCAAGATGTGGAAAAAACACTCTCACGTTACACAAGATTGACAGGAATTGGTACTGAGATGCCACACAGAACCAAAACCTTTAAAAGACAATGTTTTCAGCAAGAGTGGGGAAGGAAAAAACTTATCCCCTAATGAAAAAATATGATTAAAACATGTCTCCATCCCAGTTCCAGGTTGGAAAAAAAGGAAGACTATTCCTCCTGATTAGTCATAATCATAACTCTACATATATGAGTTTGGAAGTCAAATCTACACCAAATATACGGGCCAGGGAAACAGAAACCAAAAACTTCATTTAAAATGACCTCTGATTTGTAACACTTCTGAAGCGCATGGCAAAGGAAAAAACAAAAGCAAATTACCTTTTTAAAAATTCTCTTGAAGAAGGGCAAATTGAAAATTCCCACAGATTTAGATCAACTATATATGAAAGAATGTACAAAATATATATAACACCCAAAGAACAAGTTAACATGAGTGAGAATCAGACAAAACAACAAACACAACATTTAGATCCCCCAAGAATTTCGTATAGTGAATTGATCAGATACCAATCTTGAAATAACTATAGAATATGAGCAAAAAACATGACACACGGCATATTTTAAGAACCATCAAATAAAATTTCTGGAGGTAAAAAATAGAATCACTGAAATTAAAATCCCAAAGGAAAGGTTAAACTGTAGATTAGATTCAGCTAGATAAAGAATAAGTGAACTAGAGAGAAGATGGGGAGAAATTACCAATAACAAAATCGAGAGACAGAATAGATGAAAAATATGAAGCAATGTTAAAGAATACAGAAAACAGGATGACAAAATCTAATATACATCTAATAGAAGATACAAAGGGACAGTAAAGAGATTGAAAGAGGGGAAATATTCTAAAAGATAAATATATTAGAATTTTCCAGAATTGAAGAAAGGCATGCATTCTCAGATTTAAGAAGCACAGCAAATACTAAGACAGAGGGGAGAAAAGGAAATATACCTCTAAATATATCATAGTGAGCGACAACACAAAAAGATATTCCATGTTCTAATATCTGAAACTGTGAATGTCACCTTATTTGGAGAAAATGTCTTTGCAGACGTAATAAAGTTAAGATCTTGAAATGAAATATACAATGACAGGCGTGCTTGTAAGAGAAAGGAAGAAGGAGATGAGATACAGACACAGGAAAAAAAAAGCCATGTGAAGACTCATGGGAAGATGGAGGCAGAGATGGGAGTTATGTTGCCACAAACCAAAGAACACCTAGGGTTGGCCGGGCACAGTGGCTCACGCCTGTAATCCCAGCACTTTGGGAGGCCAAGGCGGGCAGATCACGAGGTCAGGAGATCGAGACCATCCTGGCGAACACGGTGAAACCCCGTCTCTACTAAAAATACAAAAAATTAGCCGGGGGTGGTGGTGGGCACCTGTAGTCCCAGCTTCTCTGGAGGCTGAGGCAGGAGAATGGTGTGAACCCGGGAGGCAGTGGAGCTTGCAGTGAGCGGATATCGTGCCACTGCACTCCAGCCTGGGTGACAGAGCGAGACTCCCTCTCAAAAAAAAAAAAAATAAAGAACACCTAGTGTTCCTGTTAAAAAAGCAAAAATGTTAGCAGAGAGCACAGTAAAAAAAGACAAAAAAATAAGTTTAATAGAAAAAAAGGCAAATTTTTCATAAGCTCCTGAAAGATTCCTTGTTCTTTTTTTTTTTTAAGAAGAAGGAAAAGGAGAATGAAGAAGAGAAGACAAGGAGCAAGAGGAGGTAGTAATATTTAAGACTGCGACATTTCAACACTTGGACTAAAAAATATAAGGGAATGTTTGAGGGCTAAGGAAAACACTTGAAGGTAAAAGAAAAATTTCCAAATCTTTATTTACCTCAGTTCTTTTACTGTGCTGTTGTACTTGTAAACTCTTTCTCCCACCTTTTTTTCCTACTGAAAAATCAGAGGACTTTTCTTCTCCACAAAGGAATACTGACGTTTCAAATCTAAATGACACAGAAATTGGAATCACTCTTGAATTTCTTTTTGCTTTTTCTTATTCTTTTCAAATTTTAATTATGGAAACTTTCTAACATATACAAAAATATACAGAATCCCATCACCCAGTTTCAACAGTGGCCAATCCTATTCCATCTATATCCCATCCCTGTTCCCATCCCTTATTATTTTTGAAAGAAATCACAGTATATTATTTCATCTGTAAAGACTTTAATAGAAATCTCTACAAGGTGTCTTTTTTTGTAGAGATTGGGCTGGGTGTGGTGGCGCATACCTGTAATCCCAGCACTCTGGGAGGCCAAGCTGAACAGATTTCTTGAGGTCAGAAGTTCAAGACCAGCCTAGCCAACATGATGAAACCCCATCTCTACTAAAAATACCAAAAAAATAAAAAAAAAAATAGACATGGTGACACACGCCTGTAGTCCCAGCTACTCAGGAGGCTGAGGCACAAGAATCGCTTGAACCTGGGAAGTGAGCTGAGATCGAGTCACTGTACTTCAACCTGGGTGACACAGCATGACTCCATCTCAAAAACAAAACAAAACAAAACAAAAAACACCATATGACAGCTAAAAATTAACAATTTCTTAATACCATCAAATATACAGGCAGCATTCACATTTCCAGTTGTCTCGTAAATTTCATAAAACTTCTTAACATTTTGCATCAGGACTCAATAAAATCCCAGCATCACAGTTGACTGAAATGTCTTTTTAACTTCTTTTCATCTGTAAGTTCTCCTTCTATACCTTTCACTATCATTATAATTATTATTACTAGGTCATTTGTCTTGTAGATTTTCCACAGTCAGGATTATGCTGATTGTATCACCATGGCTGTAGGATTCTAGACGCTTGAACATATTAAAGTTCAATAGTCGAGGGAGATGCAAAACCACTCTCTACGTGGTGATGGTGATGTTATTCCATCAGGAAGCACATAATGTCCAGTTGGCTACTTGTGGTATTAGCAGCTACTTATAAATAATAACTAGATCTAGTAAATCATGAGGGACTGGCTGGGCATGGTGGCTTACGCCTGTAATCCCAGCACTTTGGGAAGCCAAGGTGGGCAAATCACCTGAGGTCAGGAGTTCAAGACTAGCCTGGACAATATGGTGAAACCCTGTCTCTACAAAAAAATAATAATAATAATACAAAAATTAGCCAGGTGTGGTGGTGCATGGCTGTAGTTCCAGCTACTCAGGAGGCTGAGGCAGGAGAATTGCTTGAACCTGGGAGGCAGAGGTTGTGAGCCAAGATTGCACCACTGCACTCCAGCCTAGGTGACAGGGCAAGACTCTGTCTCAAAAATAAATAAATAAAAATAAAAATAATAAATCATGAGAGACTGCAAAGTGGTTATATTATAAATCCATCATTCCTTCAATCATTAGTTAAAATATTTCTTTTTTCTGTGTGTAGAGATGGGATCTTGCTAAGTTGCCCAGACTGGAGTGCAGTAACTATCCACAGGTGTGATTATAGCACACACTACAGTTTCAAACTCCCAGGCTCAAGTGATTGTCCCACCTCAGCCTCCTGAGTACTGAACTATAAGCACACACCACCATGCCTGGCTACTAAAATACTTCTACAAATAGAAACTTTCTCTCATGTACTATTTGGTTGCCCAGTGGTACAGTTTCATATAGAATGGCAAGATATAGAGAGATTCAACTGATTTAAAAAAAGAAGAAGAAAGAAAGGCAAGATAATTGCTCTATTGTTTTCCTTTATTTACCACTTTTCATAACAAAGACTTGGCTCACTTGTAACCTCTAAAAATGACAAAATAATTTTATACCATTTTCAACACATAGACTTAAATGTATTTGATGCAGTTTAATTCCCTGAAATTATTATACTTATTGATGCTCCAATTTTCTCATCTTTTATAGGAAAAGGTGGGAGCCTCTTCAAGTAGGTTCTTGAGTCCTTCTGATGATGCCCTGGTAGCAGTCTTTTTTATTAATAGTTTCCTTATCTCCGGAAGACAAGATGTTCCAGGCTTACTGTACATTTCCTTTCACAGACATGCAATCAGCATTTTTCTAAAGAGCCTTTTAATAAGAAATGGTATTTCAAGACTAAAGTTTGGGCATTAGAAGCTGAACTTCTTTTTAATCAACATTCTTCTTTCTTATTGTTTCTCTTCTTTCTCCTTTTTCCTCTTATTGGACTGTCAAAAACTTTTTTTTTTTTTTTTGAGACAGAGTCTTGCTGTGTCACCCAGGCTAAAAGCACAGTGGTGCGATCTCAAGACCTTTCATAACACAAACATTCCATAAACCAGGGTTCCCCAACCTCTGGGCCGTGAACCAAAACTGGTCCACACAGTAGGAGGTAAGTGGCTGGAGAGGAAGCATTACCACCTGAGCTCCACCTCCTGTCAGATTAGCGGCAGCATTAGGTTCTCATAGGGGCACAAACCCTATTGTGAACTGTGCATGCAAGGGATCTAGGTTGTGCCTCCTTATGAGAATCTAATGCCTGATGATCTTCTGAGGTAGAACAGTTTCATCCAGAAACCACCCCTGCCTCCTCCCCATCCCCTTGTCTGTGGAAAAAATATCTTCCATGAAACCAGTCCCTAGTGCCAAAAAGGCTGGAGACCACTGCCATAAACTATACAACAATAAGATAAAATGTAATTATGAATTACATTTGAATTAAATTTTAGAAGAGAAGACACATACTCTTATGTGTGCTTCAAGTAATCCAGGGTAGACTTAAATTTCAAGAACAACTCCTCAGGACAGAGACTAACTAGACTATATCTATGAGAGCTTCAGGTGAACTCAGCCCTAAGCAAAATTGTGACATAAAAAAAAAATTATAATTCATGCCACTCCCCTTTCTTAGCAAGTACCTTGGCCTTTTTTTCCAATTTTATTTATTTATTTTAAGTTGATAGATAAAATTATATGTATTTATTCTGTTTCTTAAATTTATTTTTTAATTGACAAATGAAATTATATGTATTTACGGTATACCCTGCTCCTTTTTTTCTGACTTATTTCTCCAAGAAAAAGTATCTTGCTTTTTTGACACACTATCCCTTTAAATCCAATCTCCCAAATTCATACCCTGTGAACCTCCATACTTTGCTCTTCACGTCCCTGAAGCTGCCAAATGATTAGATCCCTCTGCAGTCCTCTAGTCGCAAAGCAAGGACTTTCAACTATTTTGCCTATGACCTACAGTCAAAAGTACATTTTCTATTGAGGTACAATATACATACACAGAGAGAAGAGGTGCAGTAGAAAGCAAGGGAGAGAGAGGAGGAGGGAAAAGAACTCTAATGTTTTCAATTCTATTCTAACTTATTTATTGGAAAAAAAAAAAAAAAACTAGTAGTAAACCAGCTGCAGTGGCTCTCACCTGTAATCCCAGCACTTTGGGAGGCCAAACTGGGAGGACTGCTTCAGGCCAGGAGTTCAAGACCAGCCTGGGCAATATAGTGAGACCCCACCTCTCCAAAAAATTTTAAAATTAGCCAGGCATGGTGGTGCACACCTGTAATCCTAGCTACTCAGGAGTCTGAGGCAGGAGAATCCCTTAAGCTCAGGAGGTCCAGGCTGTGATGAGCTATGATCATGCCACTGCACTCCAGTCAGGGTGACAGAGTAAACTCCTTCCTCAAAAAAGAAAAAAAAAAAAAAAAAACTAGTAGTGACCTCCTAAACTGATTTCATGACCCATTAATGAATTGCAACTTGCAGTTTACTGGTGCTTTATATACCCCATATATCCTTATTGAAGTTGAGCCTTCTTATTTCTAGTATAATCATGACTTCCACTCCATTACATGACTTTTGATCTTTCACCTTTTTTCAAAAAATGATAAAGAAAATAAAATTTTAATCTGATGAATGTAAGGCCTCTTTAAATTATCAGGCCCAAAGAGGCATTAAAATGAGATAGCAGTCACTGTCTCACATCCCCTTGAGCTAAGCAATTATTTCAAAGTTGCCTGCTATGTGGACTCTAGACTGTCACCAAGTAGCCACAAATTAACCTAACAATGCCATACACTGGATACCATAATTCATACATTACAGTTCAGCACTGTATAGCCAATCACTAATCAATGTTATTTCTGTAAACCAGTGAGAATTCCTGAAAAACAACTTTTGTAATCAACCCATCTCCTGATTGGTACCTTTTTTCTTAAAAACTTGAACCTCTCCTTTGTTCTCCAGAGTACCTCCCAAGTGTTTCCCAGGCTGCAGTCCTCAACCTGGACCCAAACAAACTCTCTACTTATATTAATTTTGCCTCAGTTTCCTTATTTAGGTAAACAAAAGTATAAGTGTATTTTTTAATTATGAGCTGCTTCACACATTTCATAGAATAAGGATGATTTGGTATACATAATGAATAAGTAAAAACATTTGTCCCGTACCCCATTTCTAATTTTTTTTTATTTTTATATATTTAGAGGGCACAAGTGCAGATTTCTCACATGCACATAGGCATTGTGGTGAGTTTGGGCTTTCAGTGTACCCAGCACAAAATTCAACCCTCACCCCTCCTCCCTTTTGTAGTCCCAATGTCTATTATTCTACTCTGTATGTCCATGTGTACCCATTGTTTCGCTCGCACTTACAAGGGAAAACATGCACTGTACCCTATTCTTTTGAGGCATGTGCTTTCCACAGTGCTAACCTATCTTGAACAATGCTAATGGAAGAAGATAAAGGGATGCTTCCACGACCTTCCTTTTCTTTCTAGGTAACAAGTTTTATCGTAGTCTTCTAGAAACAATTGCTTCATCTTTTACCATCTACCAAACAGAAGTAGTGGTGAAAACGTTAGATTAAATAAAAGTGAAATACAGATTTCTGGAAGGTAGAGGAGATTTTTATTTAGGTGCCTCTCCAATCATAATGTGTAGGTAATTTCCAGTTTCACCAACAGGTAAGATGAGCATTTAGTTAAAGATAAAGTGACATAAGCTCTGAATGTTTTCCCAGAGGCTTTTGTACTTTTTTTATTTTTCAGTCATTTTATAAATAATAATAAATACAGATTGAGTATTTCTCCTACATGCATATAAAATGCTAGAACTTCTATAACTAACAAAAGGCAACCAGGCAATGCAGCATACAAGAAAGAACTGCTAAAAGATTCAAATAGCTTGGCCAGGCGCAGTGGCTCAACGCCTGTAATCCCAACACTTTGGGAGGCCGAGGTAGGCGGATCACAAGGTCAGGAGATCGAGACCATCATGGCTAATACAGTGAAAACCCGTCTCTACTAAAAATACAAAAAAATTAGCCACACATGGTAGTGATCGCCTGTAATCCCAGCTACTCGGGAGGCTGAGGCAGGAGAATGGCTTGAACCTGGGAGGTGGAGCTTTCGGTGAGCCAAGATCGTGCCACTGCACTCCAGCCTGGGCAACAGAGTGAGATTCCATCTCAAAAAAAAAAAAAAAGGGCCGAGTGTGATGGCGTGCACCTGTAGTCCCAGCTATTCAGGAGGCTGAGGCAGAAGAATCACTTGAACCCAGGAGGTGAAGGTTGCAGTGAGCCATGGTTGCACCACTGCACTCCAGCCTGGGTGACAGAGTGAGACGCTATCTAAAAAAAAAAAAGATTCAAATATCTTAATTTCATGGAAGGCACAAAGTCAAGCCAAGAGGAAAGAACCTTCTGTTTCCTTCTTAAATTCTCTTTAAGACAAACTTAATAGACATATGGATAATTGTTCTCCTCTAACTAGAATCCTATGATTCCAGTTAGCTTATAGCTTCCTTATAGGCTTCCACATGTGATACAGTTTGACTCTGTGTCCCTACCCAAATCTCAAGTTGAATTGTAATCCCCAATGTTGGGGGAGAGACCTGGTAGGGAGTGACTGGATCATGGGGGCAGATTTCCCACTTGCTGTTCTCATGATACTGAGTGAGTTCTCATGAAATCTGTTTGTTTAAAAGTATGTGGCACTTCCCCCTTCATTCTCTCTCCTGCTGGCCTTGTGAAGGTGTGCTTGCTCCCCCGTCCCCTTCCACCATGACTCTAAGTTTCCTGAGGCTTCCCCAGCCTTGCTTCCTGTAAAGTCTGCAGAACCATGAGCAATTAAACCTCTTTTCTTTATAAATTACCTAGTCTCAAGTAGTTCTTTAAAACAATGTGAGAACCAACTTAGACAACATGGAAGCCTATAGACTTCCACATGGTTGCGAGAGAAGTCAGAAAAAATGTAAGAACAGCTATTTAGGAGTTAAAATTATGCTACTGAAAGAATGACCACAAATATGTATGATCCTATACACACGGTACATTATGAGAACACATAAGCTATGTTTTGGCACTCTTAACTTGCAAAAGAATGATTCAATAAAGTAAGTTCAGAGTTTTTAACTTACATTTTTTTATATTCTGGGCTCAAACTCCTAACTTCCGGTGAAATTTTCTTCTCTATTGTTTTAGAAAACTTGATGTATTTCTTGTGGTTAATAGTTCCTGATGGCAAGCCAGTTGCAAAAGAATTAGAGCCATCATCTAAGAAGTCAATATTTTCCTCTGCCTGGGGAATATAAGAGCTACAATCAAGCATGTCATCTTTGCACATACATATTAAATATGAAATTCTGGGTCAAATCATTCATTTTAGATCGATATTCTTTCTCAAATAGTGCTACCGAAGAGAATTTTGATGAAAAAGGTTTTACTCACTAGTGTATTATTTTTCCAGATTCAGTACATACTCTAAATAGCTCCAATTTTCCATAGTGCACTATACAGCTATAAAATGAACATCATGTATTAATATATCTAACAGTTATTTAATCTAGTAATTTTTCTTTTTTTGAGACAGCGTCTCTTTTTGTTGCTAGGGTGGAGTGCAGTAGTGCAATCATGGCTCACTGCTGCCTTGACCTCCCAGGCTCAAGCAATTCTCCCACCTCAGCCTCCTGAGAAGCTGAGACCACAGACATGCACCATCACGCCTGGCTAATTTTTTTATTATTTGTAGAGATGAGGTCTCTCTACCTTGCCAAGGCTGGTCTCAAACTTCTGAGCTCAAGCAGTCCTCCCACCTCAGCCTCCCAATGTGCTAGGACTACAGGCATGAGCTACCTCTCCCAGCCTGGATCTAGCTCTTAAGGTATCAAGGTACAAAAGATTATCATACTCTTTGCCAAGCAAGGTACAAAAGTTTATCATACTCTTTGCAAAGTACTATTTTTATTATAAAAATTAACTCGATTTTAGATATAAACCAAAGCCATGATCCATGAAAAAAATAATCAGTAAGTTAAGCTTCATTTAAATTAAAAGCTTCTGCTCTGTGAAAGACACCATATCAAGACAATGGAAGGAGAAGTCACAGACTGGGAGAAAATGTTTTCAAAAGACATATCTGATAAATAACTGTTATCCAAAATATACAAAGAACTCTTAAAACATAATAAAAAAAGAACTCAATTTTAAAATGAGCTAAGGACTTGAACAGGGCCGGGCACGGTGGCTCAAGCCTGTAATCCCAGCACTTTGGGAGGCCGAGGCGGGTGGATCACGAGGTCAGGAGATCGAGACCATCCTGGCTAACACGGTGAAACCCCGTCTCTACTAAAAATACAAAAAAACTAGCCGGGCGTGGTGGCGGATGTCTGTAGTCCCAGCTACTCGGAGGCTGAGGCAGGAGAATGGCGTGAACCTGGGAGGCGGAGCTTGCAGTGAGCCGAGATCGCGCCACTGCACTCCAGCCTGGATGACACAGTGCGAGACTCCGTCTAAAAAAAAAAAAAAAAAAAAAAAAAAAAAAAGACTTGAACAGATACCTCACCAAAGAAGATGTACACAAACATGGTAAATAATGACATGAAAAGAAGCTCAACATTACAATGGGATTAGGGAACTGCAAATTAAAAGGAAACACCATTATAGACCTGTTAGAATGATGAAATTTTAACAAAAAAACTATAAAACTTTGATAAAAGAAACTGAAGAAGACACAAATAAATGAGAAAATAGCCCAAGTTCATGGATTCAAAAAATTAATATTGTTTAAATGTCCATACTATCCAATGTTGTTTACAGATTCAATGCAATTTCTCTCAAAATTCCAATGTCATTTTTCACAGAAATCAAAAAATTCCAAAATTCATATGGAACCAGAAAACACCCCATATAGCCAAAGGAATTTTAAGCAAAAAGAACAAAGTTGGAGGCATCACACTTCCTAATTTCAAAACAATTATAAAGCTATAGTAATCAAAACAGAATGTTACTGGCATAAAAACAGACACACCAACCAATAGGACAGGATAGAAAGCCTAGAAATTTTCCAAATATTTACATTCAGCTGATTTTCAATAAAGGTGCCAAGTACACACAATGGGGAAAGAACAGTCTCTTCAATAAATGGCATTGGGAAAACTGGATATCCCCTGAAGAAAAATGAAATTGGGACATCATCTCACACCATATACAAAAATAAATTTAAAATGCATTAAATATTTAAACACAAGACCTAAAACTGTAAAGTTACAAGAAGATGGGGGAAAAGCTCTACCACATTGGTCTGGGGAATGATTTGTTGGATAAGACTCTATAAGCACAGGCAACAAAAGCAAAAATGGAAAATGGGATTATATGAAACTAAAAAGTTTCTATACAGCAAGGGAAACAATCAACAGGGGAGAAACAACCCACAGAAGGGGAGAAAATATTTGCAAACCCTACATCTGTTAAGGGGTTAACGGGTTTATACCCAAATTACATAGGGAACTCAATTCAAGCAAGAAAACAAACTATCCAATTAAAAAATGTGTGAAGGATCTGCACAGACATTCTCAAAAGAAGACATACAAATGGCCTACAGGTTTGTGAAAAAATGCTCAATATCACTAATTATTAGGGAAATGCAAAATAAAACCACAATGAGATATCATCTCACACTATTCTGTTAGATATTCTGTTAGAATAGCTATTATCAAAAAGACAAAGGAAACAAGTGTTGGCAAGGATGTGGAGAAAAGGGAACATCTGCACACTGTTGGTATGAATGTTAGTACAGCCATTCTAGAAAACAGTATGGAGGTTCCTCAAAACCTAAAAACAGAATTACCACATGATCCAGCAATCCCATTTCTGGGTACATATCCAAAGGAATTGAAATTATTCATTTCAACTCCCATATTCATTTCAGCATTATTCACAATAGCCAAGATATAAAATAACCTAAGTGTCCATCAACAGATGGATACATGAAGAAAATGTGGTGAATATACACAAATGAATACTATACAGCTTTTAAAAAGAAGGAAACTCTGTCATTCACCATAACATGGATAGAACTGGAAGACATTATGCTAAGCAAAGTAAGAGGCACAGAAAGACAAACACTATATGATCTCACTTACATGTGAAATCTAAAAATGTTGTTCTCATAGAAACAGGGAGTAGAAAGATGGTTATCAGAGGTTGTGGGGTGGAGAGGTTTGAAGGAGGAAGAGGGATGGGGAATGGGAAGACATTGATCAAAGGGTACAGAGTTTCAGTTAGACTGGAGGAACAACTTTTAGTGATCTAATGCATTGTATGGTGAACATGGTTAATAAATAATATATACTTCAAAATCACTAAAATATTGTTTATGTTCTTACCACAAAAAAATAAGTTGGTAATGAATATGTTAATAGCTAGATTAACTATTTCTATAATGTACACATAGATCAAAATACTACATTATGCCCCATAAATACACACAATTATTATTTGTCAATTTAAAATAATAATAAAAAACTCAGTTAAGGAAAAAGAATGGCAATAATCCAAAACACTGACAACAACAAATGCTGGCAAGGATGTGAAGCAAGAACTCTCATCATTGCCGATGGGAATGCAAAATGGTACGACCACTTTGGAAGACAGTTTGGCAGTTTCTTACAAAACTAAACATGCTTTTACCATACAATTCAACTATTGTACTTGTTGGTATTTACTCAAACAAGTTGAAACTTTATTTCCACATAAAAACCTACAATTGGATGTTTATAGCAGCTGTACTCATAATTACCAAAACTTGAAAGCAATCAAGATGTCCTTCAGTAATTAATAAGTAAACTGTGTTAAATGTAAAGAATGGGATATTTATTTAGTGCTAAAAAGAAACGAGCTATCAGGTCTTGAAAATACATTTTAAAACTTTAAACACACATTAAGTGAAAAAAGCCCGACCTGAATGGTTCCATATTGTATAACTCCAACTATACAACATTCTGGAAAAGGCAAAACTATGGAGATGGTAAAAAACCAGTGTTTGCCAGGAGATGGGGGAAGGAGAAGTAAATAGCTAAAGCACAGAGGATTTTAGAGCAAAAATAATAATCAACACAATAAACAGACAACCAACAGAATGGGAGAAAATATTTGCACACTATACATCCAACAAAGGACTAATATAAAGAATTTACAAGGAATTCAAACAAATCAGCAGAAAAACCACAAGTACTCCCATTAAAAAGTGGGAAAATAACCTGAACAGATATTTCTCAAAAGAAGATATACAGTCAACAAATATATGAAAAATGCTCAACATCACCAATCACCAGGGAAATGCAAATTAAAACCACAATGAGATATCACCTTACCCCAGCCAGAATGGCCATTATTAACAAGTCAAAAAACAATAGATGTTGGTGCAGATGGAATGAAAAGGGAAAATTTATATGCTGCTAGTGGGAATGTAAATTAGTATAATTTCCACAGAAAACAATATGGAGATTTCTCAAATAAATAAAGGTTGATCTATCATTCAATCCAGCAATCCCACTACTGGGTACCTACCCAAAGGGAAAAAAAAGTCATTGTATCAGAAAAAAACAAAAACAAAAACACCTAACATATATGTTTATCTCAGCACAATTCACAATACCAAAGGTATGGAACCAACCTAAGTGTCCATCAACTGATGAGAGGTTAAAGAAAATGTGGTATATATACTATGGAATACTACTCATCCATAAAAAAGAACAAAATAATGTCTTTTGCAGCAACTTGGATGAAACTGGAGGCCATTATCCTAAGTGAAGTAACTCAGGAACAAAAAAACAAATGCCGCATATTCTCACTTATAAATGGGAGCTAAGCTATGGATCCAAAAAGGCATATAGAGTGATAGAGATTCAGAAGTGGAGAGGGGGCAGGGAAGTGAAGGATGAAAAACTACCTGTTGGGTACAATGTATACTATTCAGGTAACAGGTACACTAAAAGCCCAGACCTCACCACTGTATAATTCACCCATGTAACCAAAACCCACTTGTACCCCTGAAGCTATTGAAATAAAAAATATTAAATAAATAAATATCTTTCTCTACAAAAAAAATAACAAAAAACAAAGCCTATATTAAAAAAAAAAAGAAGAAGAAGCTATATTGCTTCTAAATAGACACTCTTCCCACCCCCGCAAAAAAAAAAAATGAGTTTAGTGACAATAAACATGTTTAGAAAAAGAGGAATGCAGTTGGAAATATTCTCTCCCGAAATTTGGCTGTTTGCTTAAGACACCTGGCAGCATCCAGTGGATCAAAGGTGTATTAGTCCTGAGCCTCTGAACCCAAAGTTGACCCTGAAGATCACACAGACAATTTATAAAGATTACCAAGAAAGTTTAGAGAGGATCTCTATTTCCACAGGATGGAAATTAGCAGAACTATTTCAGTGACTTTTAGACTCTGCATCATTTGTCTTATAACAAAGGCATACCTTTAGATTGTTTCAAAAAGGCAATTCGATTTGCTGCCTTGATGAGATGTGTATTACAAATGATGAACAGATTCCTAAAAAGATTGAAAAAAATGACCCAAAATAGAAAGCAGAGGGGGAAAAGGGGTAGGAAATCTAAAAAGACAGAAAAACCTGTTACCAAAGGCCAAGTGAATGAAAACGAAGAGTGAGTAGAAGCTCTTGACACAGAAGAAGAAAAGAATCTTGGAAACACTGTAGTAAAAGGTAAGCCATCTGGGAAGTATAAATTACACAGTCTAAGGAAAACAAACTGGTATGATACTTTAATATTAATTTTTAAGAATTCATCTTCAAAATCATTTTATAAGGGCAAAATCAACAAAGTAGTAAGTATAAAAAGGTAAACTTTAAATGTATATATGTGTATATATATGATATAAAGTACATATCTCAGCACTTTTCAAGTCTCTGAGATTATTTTTCAGACTATATTATAGGTATATGTTTTACACAGTAGCGTCAGATCTTCTACAAGGATAAATTTAAAAGATTAGGACTCTCAATTGACAATGCTGAATTTCACTTGAGCCCTAAACTCCCAGAAAACAGTGAGGGTTAAAGGAATCCCCCCACCCTTTTGTGTTCTGGAAAATGGCTTACTGTAAACCACCCCTCCCCATATGACTTAGGTAAGACTCTGGAATGCCCCCCTTGTTTACTTATGACAATGCAAGACACACCCCCTCAAAATTCCCTTTCTTTGCATCATAAATTATTAGCTGAATTGTTTTATCCCCACTGATAATCAGAACAAAATAGACTGACTTCATGATAAAATACCCTCCAATTTACTTATATAATCATTCTACTGTTTCATCCCGTTTCCCCACACCTGGTTCTTTCCAGCCTCTCTCTATAAAAGGAAACTCCTGCCCAACCCTTGAGACACCTGCAGATCTTACAGTCACAGCATTCTTCCCATTGCAATAGTCCTCCTCCTCTTCCAATTTCAATAGTCCCTTTCTTCCCTTGCAATAATTATTTTGAATAAAGTCTCTGCTTACTAAGTCCAGATTTGTTTTTATTTGAAAAAATTTGTCTTATTTGACAGAATACTAGCCAAAAAAAAAAAAAAAAAAAAGGCAGAGGCATCTAAAAAGACAGAAGGGCATAAAAATCTGAAGCACAGATAAGATGGCTAAAGAAATTTGATGTCCTCTACATTATTTTTTGGTTATACTCTCACATCATTAATTACATTATCTACAACCTCTCATGTAAGTTTAACCCTTTTGATCTCCACAAACTTATCCACCAAAATACTCTCACTGTACACCACAGAAGATCTCTCAGTATTATATGGGTTGTTGGGATGCGAGTTCAATATCTGTTCACTAAAATGACTCAAAAGTCATCTCAGTTATTCAGCCAGTTCCTTATAACTATTACTCTATGAATTTGCTTACTGATCATGAATATGAGGTAATATAAACTAATTTTAAAAAGAAGAAATCTTTAGAAACTGTTTTAAATACCTGGCAGAAAAAATGTATGTTAGTTTCCATCTTTCTGTTTAGAGGTAAATTCTGTCCTTAAAGAATCCAGGCTTTGATGAACAAGTATGAATGAGCAATAGTACAAAAGGATTTCCTGCCAAAAAAAAAGAGAAAGAAAAAATCATATGCTTGTTTAGGACACTTAAGCAATTATATTTACCTACCTGAAGTTATCTCTTCAATGTAACACTGACTTGGGGTATGATACACAGTATTTCACCAACACAGATATGTGGGCAAACACTAGAAAAAGCAGTTAGTAGACTATAAATCACAGATCATCCAGTTCCTTAACTTTATCTTTTGTGGTATGAGGAGAAATCCAGTTTCAAATGGCATACAAAGCAAAGAAATCCAAGTACATCTGTTTATTTAAATAAACCCTGAGAAGCAGAACTGCTAAGACAGTAGTAATCACTCATGTTACTGCATGCTCACTGTGTGCTAAATATGATAAAGACTTAAGAGATCAAGTTTCCCAAGATCACACAGCCAGCAAATAGTGGAGACAGAATTTGAATTCAGACAATTTAACTCCAAGCCTGTGGTCTTCAGTCCCATAGAACATTGCCTCTCAAAACAATGCTACTGCAAACAAAAGATGTTGTAGGCCAGGTGCGGTGGCTCACATCTGTAATCCCAGCACTTTGGGAGGCTGAGGCGGGCGGATCACGAGGTCAAGAAATTGAGACCATCCTGGCCAACATGGTGAAACTCTGTCACTAATAAAAATACAAATCAATTAGTCGGGGGTGGTGACATGCGCCTGTAATCCCAGCTACTCAGGAGGCTGAGGCAGGAGAATCGCTTGTATCCGGGAGCTGGAGATTGCAGTGAGCCAAGGTCGCACCCCTGCACTCCAGCCTGGGATATACAGCGAGACTATCTCAAAAAAAAAAAA